GGGCTGGATTCGAACCCGCCACCTTAGGTGTATGTGGCTGGTGCCTTAGCCACTTGAGCCACAAGTGCCGAGCCTGTACATTCTTTTCTATTTAATCCATAAATAAGATAGGGAACAAAGAACATTAGGTCACTTTCTAGATTGTGTGAAAATAAATCTTTGAGAGCTTACATGACTTGCTTAAGGGCTCAGAGATAGCAGAGGGATCAGCCATGGAAGCCTAGAGTGTTTGAGCTTAATGGAAAGTAGATCTTTTTCTAGAAACCAATTTCATTGGCAATAAGCAAGGCAAAGATTGACGTTAGGGAGGAAGCTGAGTCAACCCCAAACTCCATGACAGCAGAAGCTGTTTATTCTCTTCACTTTTTAAAAAACACCTCCAGCTTGGGCACGGTGGCTCACACCTGTAATCCTGGCACTCTGGGAAGATCGGTTGAGCTCTACTAAAAACAGAAAAATTAGCTGGGCACAGTGGGGTGTAGCTATAGTCTCAGCTACGTGGGAGGCTGAGCAGGAGGGTCACTAGAAGCTGGAAGTGAGAGGTTGAAGTGAGCTATGATGACGCCACTGCACTCCAGCCAGGGTGACAGAGCAAGACTCTGTCTCAAAAATAAATAATTAAAAAAAAAAAACAACCCACCTAGCATGGCTTGTGGAATGTAGTAATGTATAATAAATATTTTCAAAAGGATGTTTTAAAAAGATTTGGATGCCAACAGCTTTAGTGAGAGAAGACGTGGAAGAAAGAAAGAAACAGAAAAGACAGAAAGAGAAGGGGCAAGAAAGAAGATGAGAACAACAGTCGGTTCTTTTCTGGCACTTTACCTAAACTTCGAGACTCTAGAGTCAAACCTGTCAGTTTAGCGTTAAGTCTCGGACTCCGCTAACACTTCAGAGATATTTGAAAGAGGGAAATTGCTTTATGGCCAACGTTCTCTCAGCTCGGGCAAAGTACTCCATTTTTCAGAATCCCACTGGGTGTGATCTTGGGATCCCATCCCGCCTGATCGTCCTCTGGGTGAGCCAGGCCTCCTGGGCAGGTGGGCACTGGGAAGCACAAGTGGGTCATATCTGATATTTAACCAACAAGCCAACCAAAAACCAGTCAGTTAAGAAAAAGCAATTAGTTAATAATTGTTACGGTCCCACTTAATCCTTCAGAAGAGGAATTTACCCAGACTCAAACACTCCAATAAAATATAAAAATTCAATGAAACATCTTTCTACTTTGTTAAATAATCAAAAATATTATGATTGGCTGATTGAATATTCCTTTTTAAAATACTTGTTTGATTTAAGGTTAATACTGCTTGCAAAAATCATGACCTTTTTTTTTAATTTTAATTTTTTCGAGACAGAGTGTCCCTCTGTTGCCCTAGAGTAGATGCCATGGTGTCATAGCTCACAGCAACCTCAAACTCTTGGGCTTGAGTGATCCTCTTGCCTCAGCCTCCGAGGCAGCTGGGGCTAGAGGTGCCTGCGACAATACCTGGCTAGTTTTTCTATTTTTAGTAGAGATGGGGTCTCACTCCAGCTCAGGCGGGTCTTGAACCCCTGAGCCCAGGAGATCCACCTGCCTTGGCATCACAGAGGGTTAGGATTATAGGTGTGGACATCATGCCCAGCCAAAATCATGAAATTTAAAAGCTCGGTATTTTTCTTGAGTATTCTTGAATATCCACAGTGGGGCTAAATCCATCTCAATATCTAAGAATGTTGAGTAACCTATTTGTGTAAGACATATGCTTGTGTCTATATATTTCCTTCCAAAAAGAAAGGAGATCTTAAGTAATTTTGACTCTTATTGTACAACTGAACAAGTTCAGCACGCAAACAAAATCTAATTCCACCATAGCAACTAACAAGCCTATTCTGAAAACTCACTTCATCATACGGGGAGTATGAAATTGGTGGCTTGAGATTAGTTACAGAAAATCTTAGTTGAAAGGATTCCCATGTGATGGGCTTAGTTGAGTTTCTTTGAGGCCTTTATTCTGTCTGATATCCCTGATGACTCCAAAGTGACCACGTCTTATGAAATCTTAGGGATCTGGAGATCTGAATGATTGAGGCTGTGTGCAATCCCTTGGGTAATTACGGCCACCTGTCAGGACCTACAATGGCTGGTAAGGGAGTTGCTTTAGAAATCTTGAGAAGCTAGGAGTTGTTTGATTTTCTGGTACTGGCCTACTGAAATGTTTGCAGAGAAAAACGCTAGAGCCGGGTGGGCATACCTTCATCAGATAGATGTGATTACTATGTAGCTTAAAAGCACTAAAGATATTGAATTTCCCCTTTTAAGTCATGGAAAAATACTGGGCCAAACTATGAAAATTGGAAAAAAAACAATGTGTGGAGTACTATAAAAATGTGAGTCATTTAAAAAATGGATTTAATATCAGGCCTAGTGAATTGCACTTGGTGTTTTGCCCATTAAGCTCTGATATCCTCAGGAGAAGCAATGAACTGTCTGTGAGGTGCAGAAATAATCAAGGAAAAAGGGCCATTTTATTTCTGTGTCGTAGCTACATGACCCATGCAGAAAATACAAAATGACTGTGGAAAAATTTGAGGAAATAAGACGATTTTTCACAGTCCTTTAATAGAAGAAGGTTATGTGTGTGTGTGTGCGCGTGTGTGGCATTTTGTAAGCTTTTAGAAATAGTTTTCATGTAGCGCGTGTGTGTCCAGGGAAGTTGTTTATAGATCCAGTACACAAATCTCTTTTCTTTCAAATAACACCCAAAGGACCTATACACTTTTAAACAAGGGTATACAGTCCCTCTGACCCTATTTTTCCAGCTGTCAACAGATGGAGACACTCATCGCCCTTTGTAAAGAACATCTCTCCGCAGGCGATTACACAAACCACGGGCAGATACAGCTTGTCCTCTTAGAAATGCTAATGATTCTCTCACCTCTTCCTTCTCAGCACTTTGCAGATCGCGCCATTCCTCAGTGACGTGGCCAAAATCCACTGTGTTCATGGGGACTTTAAATTCTCCGATGATGTCATGCTTGGAGAACCGATCAAAGTCGTACACGGCCATCACCAGGGTTTTGCCACCTAATTCCGAGTACGGCACCTGCGTAAAGAGAGATGAGGATAAAATATCTGGTTACAAAAATGCTTCAAACGTGTTACTTGTTCATAATGTTTAATTTTTTTATGTTAGATAAACAGAGCAGGGAGATGATTTTGTTTTTGCGTGTTTCTTAAATGGAGACTTTGGATGAACTGCTTGAGGCTTAAATTACTTGAGAGAAAATGGGAACTTAGAGTGACTGATCACTTTATCCCAAAGTTCTCGAAGCTGTTAGGGTTATTAATAATAGATTCCACTATTAGTAATGCTATCAACACTTTAAGATTAATAAAATGGTAAATAAGTCAATTGCATTTGCCTCTGTAAATACGTTTTTCTTATACATTATTTTGTTAGTGCTGTAAGTTATATTGTCAGGATATACTTTAGGGTGGGGCAGATAACTTCTTTATAAGTTCTATTAACTCTTTTCAAGCCATTTGAATGCCACGCTTTAATGGAGCACTGACATTAAAAAGCATTCTAGGAGTCTGAAAGAATCGAAATGAAATTCACAACGGCCTCACCTACTCCCTAAAATAATTACTGATTGACAAGAACTGACTAGGAAATTGATGTTTTGAATATCAGAGCTGCATTGCAATATGGATCTTGAAGTTCATTGGTAGGTATGAACATGCTTTAGGAAAAGGGGTGGCACAAGGCCAAGAACTGATGAATTCTCCAGCTGTTCATATATATCTGGGACAGATGCTGTGGGCTGGGATGTTTATTAGTGACATTTTTAATATTCAGGGAGAGCAATGCAATCCAAGTCAGTTACACTTCAGTAACTGGGTAGAAATACCAATTAAGAAATTGTTTAGACTTGTCTTAAAGGTTTGATCAATTTTCATACACTTCCTATTATTTTATCAGTGTAAATGACTGTCTTATGCTCCAGAAAACATTTCTCAATTAACTCTGTATATTAAAGTGGGAAGAAGGAAGAATATTTGACCCTATACATATAAGAAGTTTCAGTTTTCCCAAGATTTTTATTATCCATCATTTATTCATCATCTGTTTTAAAGCTGAGTATTTTATGAAAATACTATGATTAAAAACTAGGCATAATACTTTTTCCATTTCAGAAGGAATTTAAAATAAATCCAAAGAATTTCAAAGAGAGAAAGAAAAATTTTAGAGTAGGAATAAACTCTTAAAAATTTCATCCTATTTCTAAAATTTCTCTAGATTTTTGGATGATTGTACTGAAATAGCAACAGTGAAAAACCTGGGCTTGGGGTCAGAAAGACCTGGGTCTGGGGTTCCTAATTTTGCAGCTGAAGGACCTAAGGCAAGTGAATAAATCTCAGCTTATTCACTTATTAAGCAGTGACAGTGCTATCATAGTGATTACTTCAGGGGCACTGTTTTGAGGATAAATGAATACATATGCAGACACTTAGAAAGTATTTATTGTTTAAATGATTAGTACCTCCTTCAGATAAGAGTTTATTTTGGGGAAAAGAAGATGAATGTAGTTTGGGGCACATCGAGTTTGTGTTAAATGGAGTTAAATCAATCCTAAAGCCTACCCTCTTTAATACAGCGGTTCTCAACCTGTGGGTCGCGATCCACAGGAACTGTATTAAAGGGTCGTGGCATTAGGAAGGTTGAGAACCACTGTTCTGATAGTTCCACTCTTATGTCATATGGCCAGTTGGCATTTCAAGATGAGCAGTTTAAAATGTCTACTGAAAAAATTAACCAGTTATCTAGAAAAATGGGCATATTTTTAAACACATTGTAGTTTGTAACATATTTAAAACACATTGCAGTTTGGATTTCTTTATAGTTTGACCAGCCTTTGGAACTAGATAAGAGTTTATAGAGAATTCCAAAATTTCAATAATTACCTTCCTTGGAGTCATAGAAATTACTAATAAAATTATTAGCAATCTTTAAAGAAATATTATGCAAATAACTAAAAACAAAGCCTCTATTGAAACATTATTTCAAATAATTTAAGAACTTGCTTATTAAATTCTGGTTAGAAACTTCTGGCCTAGTTTAAGATCAATAAATAGTTAAGTACAACAACTGTGATTACTATTTGCAATATTTTTTCCTTTTTATGTTTTGTGGGATATCGACCACCGTGATTAGTGTGGTCTTTACTGTGTGTTTTCTTTTTTCCTTTTTCTTTTTTTGAGACAAGAGTCTCACTTTGTCGCCCTTGGTAGGTAGTGTGCCGTGGCACCTTAGCTCACGGCAACCTCAAACTCTGGGGTTCAAGTGATTCTCTTGCCTCAGCCTCCCTGGTAGCTGGGATTACAGGAGCCTGCAGCAATGCCTGCCTACTTTTAGAGATGGCGTCTGGCTCTTGTTCAGGCTGGTCTTAAGCCTGTGAACTCAGGCAGTCCCCCTGCCTCGGCCTCCCAGAGTGCTAGCCGTACAGACACGAGCCACCACACCAGCCTTATACACTGTGTATTTTCAACAATGTTTTTACTGCTCCTCTAAATTAACTATTTGGCTGTAGAAAAACTGGAGATTTAAAAAAATAAGATTACTGACAATACGTGAGAGACTTTGTCTTGAAAACTCAAAAATTTGAGAGTGAACAAAGACACTGCTACTCTACAAAATTAAAAGCAAGTTTTGAGAAAATGACTCCTGCCCTTGGTCTCATACATTTATTTCCTGACAGAATGTTTCCCACTATGAGGTGCCTGTTATTGCTAAGCCTGGCTGATAGATGCAGTGATTCTGAATCAGCCTGCTGGCGTAGTCACAGACATTTCATTTCTCAGAAATGTATTGTTCTAAAGCAATGCATTTAATTTTTTTCACATATTAAAGATTTTCACGAAAGAATTGTTTTTATGAATGACTTCGAGCCAAGAGCTATAGAGCTCCCTGGGGCCTGTGGGGTAGGTTTTCCTGACCGGTTATCAGGGGAACAGAATCTGTCTTTGTTATTGTGTGTCCACTGAGGTGTCTAAACAAGATGAAGAGTATTCGGGAAGAGCCTCAAGTCCAGGAAAAAGGCTATAAATGTGAGAAAACAGTGTATCATGCTCTTTTTATTGATGATTAAGAACAATGGTTTTAAAGTGTTCAAATTGCCCCTGTACCCACAGAATTTTGCAACCGGAGTAAGATCTATTTGTAGCATTTCAGTGCTGGAACATAACTTACTTTATTCTGTGATTCCACTCGGGTCTACCTATTTTCAGAAACTTTGAAACTCAGAAAGATAACGACTTCATTCTTTGACTTTATTTTCTAAAGCAGGTGTCCTCAAACTACGGCCCGTGGGTCACATGTGGCCCGCCTAGGACATTTATCCGGCCCATTGGGTGTTTTTGCCGCCACTGCCTGTCCTGCTTAGCAGCTGACTCGTCCTGGGGCCTATAGTCTGGCCCTCCAATGGTCTGAGGGACAGTGAACTGGCCTCCTGTTTAAAAGGTTTGAGGACCCCTGGTCTAAAGCAGTGCTCCCCAGCCTTTTTTGGCACCAGGGACTGGTTTCACGGAAGGTAATTTTTCTGTGGGTAGGGATCCACTGAGGCAGAGCTCCGGCAGGGATGGGAGCCCTGGGGAGTGGCTGTCCACACAGATGACATCTCATTCAGTTGCTTGCCCACCACTTGCCTCCTGCTGTGTAGACTGGCTCCTAATGGTACCGGTCTGAGGCCCAGTTGGGGTGGAAGGGGGAGATTGCAGGCTGTAGTTACAGAAGGACCTTGGTTTTTAGATGTGACTATGACACCGTCAACATGTTCCAGTCCATAATATTCCACACTGAAATGACTGAGCCGAATCTTACTTTGCCCACTTTGAAATGCATGATAGAATCCTCATCACACTGAAGATAAGACTTAGATATTCTGAACAGAATCGTAGTTTGAGTCCCTGTACAAGAATTCATGTGCATGTCTGTGTATGCGTCAGGATAAGATCAGCCTTTTATCTAAAAACAACAGAGGCAGAGTTATAAGTAAATATAAAGAAATACCTTGAAAGTAAATTGCTCATTGAAGACAGGATTAAGGGTTTTTCGGTGAACCTTTGTCTCAAATTTCTTCTTTTTATCAGGCAGCAGAAACACTTTCACATAAGGATCAGACGTGCCCCCCATGTCTAAGGCAGGCAGTTCAGCAGCCTGGATGATCCCCACCAGCAGCTGAAAATAAATGACAGAATTCAGCAAACACAGACATTGGGAGACATTTTGAAAAAGATCAATTTGTTCACAATGCTGTGTATTGTGATTTTTTTCTCCCTCTTCTTCTTTGGTTTTAATAGGCTTTTATTCTCTTATGAATCTGAACATAGAAGGCAAATGAAGTGATCTATAAAGGCTTCAGAAAACCAATTATGACAGATGCAGGCTCTGGGAGGCCTGGTTTTAAGTGCAAAAGAGGCTTTTAAAAGGTTGCTGATTACAGTTAAATACGGAATTCATATTTGCAAAAGGGTTGCAATCAAGTAACTTCCCAGTTGCCAGAAGCCCTTGTGCATTGTTCCTCTTTCCAGGCCATGATTTGTAAGTGGAAATAAAACGTTAAACAATCACTAGTTTGTAATTATAAAGTAGGAAAGTTTTATTCCTTACCAAAGCCCCAGACTGGATAAATAGAAATATTTCTGAGAGATTGGATAGCATTTTGAAATAAAAAAAAGAAGACCTTCCAGTTTCTACTTTTTTGACCTTCCCTTGCGTGCCGGATACATTTATTTTAACTTCCAATAGAAGGATTATTAAATTCTGTGTTTAAATAGAGGACACGGAATCAAAAAAATACAATTTTAGCTTCATAAAGAGGGAAGATTAGAGATATGATTTTTAACGCTCAGTAATTATTTTTCTATTTTCTCATATATTCCTAAGCTTAAATAGGAATATTAGAGTCTCTTTTCTTTTTTTTTAAATTTCTTATAGCATAACTATGTACATTAATGCAATCATGGGGTACAGTGTGCTGTTTTCATAGACATTTTGAAATACTCTCATCAAACTGGGAATATTAGAGTCTCATTGGCACTGTGAATATTTTTGTTGAGAAAAACAGGGACTACTACAGATACTCTTCCATCAGAGATATTGTATCAACAGATTGGTTTAGAATAAGATCCAGAGGGGATAAAAAGGTAGTAGAATCTTACTGCTATTTAAGGCACGGATGATTTAGTAAAGGCTTCTACACCATAGGTTTTCACACCAGAGCCTAAAAATCCGTGCCTGAAACTTTTAGCTGATGGTGTGAAAAGTCATTCACCTCCTTAAAAAAAGTCACAGCCAGTTTCTGTGAAATTAACCAACCATGTTTTTAAGTGCACTTTGAGTAGCTGTCTCAATTTTTAACCTGGACCAATACCCTGAATGATGGTGTTGCTTTCGTTTTAAGGCTTCGGTATCTTTTTGGTGCCATCATCATCCAACCACAGCAGTAAGGGTGCTGGATTGTAGGGACACAAAACACAGACAGATGGTCACAGAAAAGCCAAAATAGGCATCAGATTACAAAGACGCGATTAGTAGAGCAAACAGTCTGCCTCTTGGTTTGCTGAATCGGTATTTGCCTTTATGTAGCAATGTGAATGAGCAAGATTTTATTTCCTCATTTGCACTTTTTTAATAACCAGTTATCTTGTGGGCAGAGAAAACTCTAGCAATAAAGCATAAACTCTTTAAAACTGGATGGTTATACTTTAGAGATTTTTGAATATTTGCTAATAAAGAATGATATTGCTTCTTCCAAACTCCCTCTGATTTCTGACTAAGAGATAAATATCAGATTTCTGTCGACCACGATAGCTTCTCACTGTAAGTGTTTTAGTGGTATCTTTAAGTTTTGGCAGGCAAATGTGTTTATTTCATCATAACTTTATGAAGTTTTCCCCAGTCTTTATTTACCCTGCCTCATAGGAATTATTTTATAAATCAAATTAGTTTAGAATGTTTGGAAAAATCAATGTATGATATTAAGAAAATCATCTGATATAATTGTCTAGATTTTCAGAATAAAATACCTTTTAAAACTTGATGTTTGCTGGAAAGGGAGTGGTAAATATACTCTATATTTTACTAAAAAGTAAAAATTATTTCCTTAAAAATACGACTCTATAAAATGAATACTTAAGGACTAGCTGGGCAAGGTGATGGGGGCCTGTCATCTAAGCTACCTACTCAGAAGTTGAGGGAAGAGGATCTCTTGAACCCAGGAGTTTGGGGTTGCTGTGAGTTATGATGATGCCACAGCACTCTACCCCAGGGTGGCAGAGTGGAACTCGGTCTCCAAAAAAAAAAAGGAAATTAAAACTAACTTAGAAGTTGCAAAATTATGATGAACCAGGATAAGATATCACTAGATTTCCAGCAGAAAATATGAATGGAGAGTAAATTAGGAGAAAAATACTGGACGTGAATGTAAAGGTGGGATAAACTTTTGGAAACCATGTTATATGTTATGATAACAAAGTTAACCTGGACTTTCCCTAGAGTACACAGTAAGAGATTATGCCCCCAATCAAGTCCTGATGCTCAAATTTTGGTAGAAGTGATAGCAATGACATCAAATGCCATATTTAATTAAATATAAATATTAGATACCTATAAACCTATATATATATATATATCCACGACTATAAACTCGTACCTATAACCCAATATGCACCCATCTAGAATGTGCTACAAAATAACTATGGTTGTCATGAAGCTGATGAAATTAAGGTTATTTGTAATATGGCAGCATGCTTACATATCCTTTGTAAGAAACCATCTGTAAACTTCAGAAAGTGAAGTTGATTTGAACTGTCAAATCCTAAATAAACCCCAGAACTTCTACAACTACTTAGATTTATTCACAGTTATTTACTTAGTAGATGAGTTATCAAAGAGGAGCTTTAGGGCTTAATTCATTCATTGCTCCTTCCTCATCAAACAGGAAACTACCAACACATGCTACTTTAGTGGCTATTATAGTTACTTTATATCTTTTTTTTGGGGGGTGGGGCTCAAAAAGATGACTGAAGCAAAACAAACAGGAGAGATGTAAAATGCCCTACTTGGAGAAGGGTGATGTCCTGCAGATTTTTAAGAACTTGAACTGTCACATAGCTAATTCTACTAATTTTTACCTCGCTTTATATATATATATATATGCATTTTAACGATTCAGAAGGCAAAGAAACATCTTTAACGATGTCATGGATGCTAGAAAGTCTTTGCACATAGAGATTTTTTTACAGGGAGTCAATAAACGACAGCTAATATTTTCATTCATCTCGGGGCACCTCCTGATTTTTTGAGAAATTAGGTGGGAATGCTTGTTCTGTTACTGTCTTCGGCTCCTTGTCAATTTGGGGGCAGCATTCATTGGAACTGGAAATCAAGCTGGTCTTCTTAGTTTTTTGGAACAGTTGTCTCATTAGCAAGGGAGTTTCACTTAGTCTCATGATATTATACAGGCACCCCTGCCTTTAAAATTGATGGACCACAGTCAATTTTTCATCTTTAATTGTTCCAGCTCAGGCTGAGGGGGAGGGATGTGGCTGGGAGCTCTCAGAAGCAGACCGCCTGCTTCCAGTTCATTTATATTCTGTCTGCCTCCTGAACGTGCCTTAAGTCGATGTAATCTGTTGAATACTGTGAATTCTAATTACCAGAAGTTAAATTAGCAAGTAGGGGACTGCCTGTACTTAGAAATTATTTCATCAATAGCTTTGATAATTGCATTTTCCCCTCACAGCAAATGAAATATTTTAAGAAGCATTGTGCTTCCCCTTCTATTTGGCAATTTCAGAAAACATAATGGAATTAGAAGACATTTCCCCCAGACCTGGTTATTCTGGAAATCATAGTCCAGTGAGTATTGCAGTTTCCCCAGTTTCTCCTCCTCTTTGGGTTCTTCTTTTTCTTCCCCATCGGTCAGTCCAGTTTCAGCATCATCATCCTTAAGGGCCTATGAGCAGAAGAATGGATCTTATGAGTTCAAGTGACTTTTCATGGGAACCCAAGTTAAACTGGGCCTGTAGTTCAGACTTACAAGCTGTTAGAAGCAGGCACTAAGATGCTGGAAATCTGTTTGTCTGACACACATTCACATTTGCTGCTTACATATTTTTTAAATTCCATTTGTGCACAGAATTTTTCCCCCCAACCAGCAGGCAATATGGAAGCAATGGAAGAAGCCCCCTCAGAATATTGCAAGCGAAAAATGTAAAATTGTTGCAAAGAAAATGTCAACTTGGTATCATGTTTGGCTCTGATACAATTGCTCCTCCTGGAGGAAAGTGTGACAAACATGCTTCTAACCAGGCCAGGGGTCACGTTCATGTCCATTAAGACGCTGAGCAAGTGTAAACATTGCTACATGCAGGGGACGGTTTCTATCAAATGCATGGCCTGTGGTCGCCTGATTTCCTACAGCGAAGATGGCTGAGGTGATCCTCAGAGTACTTTAATTCCCTGTGTCTTGCATAGACATGTATCATGGTCATGGAAAAGGAAAAAAACATGCCACCAGCAAATCCATGTTCAGAGAGAAGTTTATCCCACTTCCATTTTAAGTTTACCATTTTATTTTCATAACAGCTCCACAGAAAGCTAGGCTGAATTAAATTGATTTAAGAGTCCATTTGATATCAAAAGATAACAAGCATCATGTTTACAAACTTGTCAAAAACTCAGATTGGTATAAAAATTCATTTTGCTTTAAAGAACAAAATCAATTCTATTGAACTCTTGAAACTCACTCTGACAAACTGAATATTCTTTACAACCTAAAACTTAAGTGTAATACAAATTGGAATACTAGAAAGCTCATTACCTAGTAAGATACATTGAAATGCTCCTTTAAAACAAATCAAAATATATAATGTATTTTCCTGATGTGCAAAAATTTTGCTAAAAATTCCAAGGCTACAAAGCTCATAAATATTTGAAGCTTTGTTTCTGGGGATGAGTATTCTTACTGCTCTAAATAATTAGAACAACTAGTTAGAAATGAATACACATTCATTATTCAAAACCAATAGTAATAAAAGAATCACATTTTCCTGATCCCCAGTAAGGTTGAAAAATTAAAAATCTTTATACGAATCACTTGTAATTTTTCTTCTGTATCTGTATGTGTCCTTTGCTGATGTTTCTATTATGCTATTTGTCTTTTTCTTGTTGATTTGTAGATGCTCTTTGTATTTTAGTGGCTTCGATTTTTTGTTGTGTTATATGTAGCAAATACTGTCTCTTAATGTTTGGTTATGGCATTTTCATTGCCTTTTTGTGTGTGTATGTATGTGTGCATGTGTTACCATAGAATCTCACTGAAAGCTACTCAGAGATACTAGGGATGGACTTCTGGTAAAGTAATGGAATCTTGACTGTTCCCACCTCTCAAATGGAGCCTGAGAATTTGTATAGAACTCAATTCCAGGGCAGCAAGGCTGTAGCTGGGCATTCCAGTCATCGGACTATCGCCCCACCATCCTGCTCTCCTGTTTCCAGACCACATGCCCTTCTCTCTGCTCTATTTATCATTCTCAGGGGAGAGAGATTCTCTGTTCAACCACTCACTTAACAGAGACCCCCAGTGGTGCTTCCAAATAGCACTCTCAGTCCCTGAATTCACAAGGTTTCCCAATTTGGCTACATTTCTCAAACCGAATTTGATTCCGAAAAGCAGAGACGTGGATGCCTCACAGATTCATGGACACATAAACACTGGTGAGCTGGCCTCACAGGTGTGTGCATCTTGACACTTCCCAGGAGATGACGATGGGTTTGAAAAATTGAAAATTGCCATTATTACACACATCCATTAGAAACATTTTCAGACTTGTTAGCCACACACCATTTAATTTAGAAAGTTTAATTTATGCTTGGTTGTTTCTTTGAATATTAAAACGTTGTTTTACCAATAGCCAAAGGCTGGAAGCCACGTAAAATTATTTAAAAATTTGTATTAATCTTTTCATTAGCAGGCAAGGGGGCACTGAGGGGAACATGAGCTAATGAAGTGACAGAAAAGACTAGCGAGAGGATATTAGGTAGTAGAATCCCTGTGCCCTTTCAAACCTAGCTATGTATAAGGTTTTAACACTGTCACAGCAGATATGCTTAGAAAATGGCAGTTTAAGCAATTGCCTCTCTGTAAGGTTTTAATTTTTTAAAAATAATAGCAAACTATTTAATGTGTAGTTCTGTCTGATAAATCTGCCCGCCACTCTATCATTATAATAAAAAAAGTTCATGGATTAAAATACCTTTTCAAAGGTCTCTTTCAGAACCGTCAATTTATGCATCATGTATCCACCAGTGCAATTTGAAGTGGCTGAGATATTAAATCTCCTTCTCCCTCAGTGTTTTAGCTTGAATGGAAGGTGTAGGGCCATCTTGCAATTATTCTGCATAAAAATAAGGCTGAAGTTCTGATAATTTCTCAGTGCCACTGTTCATCACTGAAGTGATTAAGTCTACTCCTGTCCCAAAGGCTGAGCTTAAGCAAGACATTTTTCTGTACCGTCACATTAAATTCAGACCTATTAAATCAGTAGCTATTATAATATCTCAAGAGCAATATTTTTTTCCTCCATGGAACAAAATTCGGAAGAAAAAGCTTGTAAACCCAGCAGTTTTGAGGTTTGATAAATTAGATAGTAGATAAATAGATAGTTGATAAATTAGATAGTTAGTTAGATAGATAAATAGATAGTTAGATAAATTAGATAGTTGATAAATTAGATAGTTAGATAAATTAGCAGTAGAAAAAAGCTATGTTGGGAACGTCAGACCTTGCTTTGAATTTTAAAGACGCAGTGCACACGCTGGTGCTTTGCTCTGACATCCAAAAGGGGCTCAGTTCACAGTCCTCAGAAGGAGCATTTGCTTACTGCTGGCAGCACTGTCTTAACTTTGGATTTACTGAAGCACATGGAGAAAGGCAGCCCAGGGGACTGAATTCCCTTTCTATGCACATCAGTGTTAAACTTGAGCTTTCTAATACCGTTCAGTGTTTAATCTGGTAGCAATGTTTAAAATGAGAACAATTTATCTTTAAACAAAAAATCAATTTAGTTCAGCCTCTTGATGTGTGTCAGAATGGTATGCCCTCAGCTGTGGGGCCCCAGCTGCCAGGCCACTAAATGTTTCTCAGCATTGCCTAGGGATGTCTAGGTAGCAGAGGAAACCTACCGCAAGGGACAATCCAGAACAGTCATCAGACACAACACAGATAGGGAGGACATAGAAGGAAGAAATAAAAATTAAAATATCCACACACATTAGCGAGAACCGTGGAGAAATGACCTTCCAGATCTAGGCCTGTGCAAGTTGATATTATATTCTGCTTCAGGAGGTTTTAATATTCTTGAGTTTTAAGGCATAAAAAAGAACCCTTAACTATATACTCTATGCAACATAAAGAACTATCAATAGTTACTTTTTTGTAGTCATTGCTGACTATTTTCACATTCGTCCTTGGTTATAAAAGCTTACTATAGTGACGTGTAGCCATGAACGCTGAAATTGAATTTCCGTGAGTTCAGTATGAAGGGTAAAGGTAAAAACTCATTGACTGCCCTGGAGCCTCTACATCTGAAGAAATCCTGCCTAAAATGCCTCTCACATTTTTAAGTGACAGAGGCACAAACTACCTTTATTGTCTTCCCCATGTTCACTTCAATATTCTGCTTAAGATATTTTGAAGCCATTATAAGCTACCTTTTTGGGCTGCTTTGAAAAGCAGCAGAAGCTATTGTTACCTATAAAGGTAAGCCTATTTTTACTTGTCCAAATTATATTTTATTATGTACGTCTAATTGTTCATAATTTAAAACTAGCACCTAGCTAACATTCTATGTAGAAAAAGTTATCTATTTAAAATGATTAAAAAAGACTTTTGGGGTGGCTGGAATTCTAGATAATCTGCAAGAATAGATTATCATAAGCTCTTCCTGACCTAGTATTTCTTTATGACTCATTTTCTCTATCCCTCCCCATCTCAAAAATATAGGTGATTAACTAAACATTATATCAGCAATTCTCTATATTTCAGATCTTGGTCATTTATCCACGTCATAACAGGGGTAATTAACACTACCACTATGCTATCTATTACAATCTTACATCATACAGAACAAATTTCACAAATAAAAATACAGATGTCTTAACCTAGGAAGAAATGTCATTGTTATCATCTCACATTATTCAGTGTATTTAATTGTTCATTCTAGAACAGAGGGAATCCACATTTGAATTTTATGGTAATTATGAATATGATAGTATTTTATGTTCAAATTATTTTCACAATATAGCTAGAATTAACATATATATTATTCAGTAGACATCCATCTCGGAGATTACTTCCGTGCTTAATCTCCCATTAAGTTGCTTAAAGAAATCTATATCAAGTCCTACTTGCTATGGAAAATGTAGACGTCAAGACGTGACTTGAAATTTTAGTTTCCACTTAACAAATTAAATGAAGAGAAAAATCCTTATTAGATATCTGTAGTTAAATGTTTGTGCACGGGCTCTTGGGACTGCAATTAGGAATTGTCAGAAACAGTGACCCCTTGTTAGTCTGCGCTCAGGCCAAAGCTCTCTGAGAGTGGGTATGGGGTTTATGTCCATCTCACGGCTCTGAAACCAAACAGAAGTGCAGGTAATGAAAAATGAGGCTTTGTGAAATCGTTGTCAATAGATACGATAGGAACTTTGAGAAAAAGCTTAAAATTCAAGCTGGGAAGGGGGTTAGCATCCCGAGTGTGTGATTAACTAGGAAACTATGCAAACATCCTTAAAATGCTTGTTGTAACACTTGATTCAATTGTCCCTCAGGAGAGTCATATATTTAACAGTTTAATTAATATCAATGCATAACAGGTATTTATAAAACTTACAAACTTATTTATAAAACTTACATATGGTTATTTTGGAATAAATAGAACTTTTGAATTATTGGATGGAAAATATTGATAATTAAAAATGTTGTTTCCATGAAAAAAATCTATATTGACATTTTAAAATATGAATTAAGTGTCCTTTAGAAATATTCAATATGAATTCAATTAAGAATATTATTCCAAAATGAAGAACTATTTCATAACTATTATTAATAGTAAACTTTATCTTGAACTGAATTTTCTAATTAATTTAGCCAAAAATAATGGACCTCCGAATATCTTCCTTAGGCTTCCCAGCCAGATGAATGTCATAACCAGCATTATGGTTTTGATTGTCCCTAAGGGAGGAAATAAGAAGTTTGCCTTCAAATTCTGTCCTGTTCTTTGGGGTTAGCTCATATAACTCTGTTCATTCCCCCAGATAACTCACTGTGTTTGAGAACTAATTATTCAGCTGGGTGCATGTGCAGAACGGCAGCTTTCTTTCATCAAGTTTGATGAAAGACTATGAAACTCAGTTATTTAACAGTCACTATGAACAGTGAAAACCAGAACGACCCCCTGTCCAAAGGGGAAAAACGCTCAGGTCCTCTGTGGTCAGTTTCTCTGGCTCTGAAACAGTTCAGACTGGCCAAACAGGTGCAATTACAATGGTCAGGCGCCTTTTCCTGTGCTGGACCCATCAAGGGCCCCCCGATGGTCACAGGCACCTTTTCTGGTCTGTTTGCACAAGAGACTGGAAACCCTGTCAAACGTCTCTGTTAAACTTGGGGTCTTAGGTAACGACTGAGCGGATTACAAAGCACCTCAATGATGATCCGTGCCCAGAAGGTGTTTATTTCTATAATTACCTGGCATAAAATCACAAACGACTTTTTATTTATTTTGTAACAATCTAAGGAGAGCTAGGGCAGGAGCACATTACCTGATCTTTCATGGTCTTGCCCAGGTCTTTGACGTCCTTCATGTTGATGGCGTTCTTCCCTCCCTTCTCCTTCCCCTTCTTCTTGTTCTTCTTTTTGAACAAACATTTCTTACAAATACAAAAGCAGCAGGTCAGGACTAAAAGGACCGCGACTATGGCTATGGCAATTAAGGCCCACGGTGGCACTGAGAGAAAAAAAGATGCATGGACAGCGTCAGTCACAAGACACTCGGATGTGCAAAAGCTTCAAAGCCACAGGTTACAAAGATCATCGTTTCTTCACGGCGTTTATCCAGCACCCACTTTGCTCCACATACACTATTTCTCACTGTTTTCTCCACCTAGCACACTGTTTCTTTCCACTTTTCTCTTCCAGGAATGTCCAATGTCATCACCTTTCTCTTGCTTTTCTTGAGTGTCTAAGCTAGGTTTCCATTAATCCATCTCTTCTCATTCAGAGCCTGCTCTGGACTTTGATCTTTGAGTTTAAAGCTATTTATTTGTTCTGTGATCTTGGGGAAATTGTCTAACCTCTCTCTGCCTCAGTTTTCTCATCTGTAAAGTGGAAGTAAATTGGTAAGTAGATCATAGAGTCTTTATGAGAATTACATAAAAAGATGTAGTGCTGGGACGTGTGAAAGCTGCACTAACTCACTTATGAAATATCAGTGTTGTGTTGATGTGTCCTGGCGTGGTAGGAAGGGCGGGTATTAACCACATAAACAGAAAAGCAAATGTAAAATCATCACCGTAGTGAAAGTTAGGAAGCAGTACACAGTGCTGTGAAGGTCAGTTAGGGGTGTACCCCACTCGGGGTCTCCAGAGGCAGGGCCATGGTTACGTATTCAGTGGTTCCTAAACTAGGCTTAGATTCAGGCCTCGTCCTGAAGGGCTGTGTTACTCCGTCCAGACTGCTTCCCTGTTCTGAGTTTCTGTTTTCTCCTTTATAAAGTGAAGATTCTAGTGGTACCCATCTCCTGTGCTTTGAAGATTAAAGGAGTTAATATTCTTAATGGCTTAGAATGAATCCAGTGCACAGCAAGAGCTCAGTGTTAGCTATCACTTTATATTCAAGGCCTTGAATATATCATTTGTTTATATTCCAGGCATTGCAGTGACGCAGAGAGCCCAGGGGACACAGGGGACACAAAACACGTCCACCAAAAAGTATCTAGAAAGAAAGGTGAGTGCACTGAGAGGACCTGAGTGAAAATACTAAGGGAATTAAGAGGAGGAAGAGATGGTTTTCAGGTAAGAAGAGTGGCTTTAGTAAAATAATAAAGCATATATAAATCCATACAGTCAAACATTTAGTTTCCAGTACAATTGTCCATCTGCTGAAAGTTAGCATACTATTTGGCACCCCCAACACCACGGGATTGTAATGAACACAGTCCCATGGAAACACATAGGATTTCACTTGGCATGGAAAGAAATTATTCATGATGCCAATCACAGCTACTGAGATTAATCTCAAGTAAGTAGACTTGTCTGTTCTAGTAAAGAAAAGATGGTGGGCACAGAAATAAGAAAAAGTGTTATTTTCTTGCAGCATTGTCAGGACCATGGATTGCCGAACCCAAGTCAGGAGTCCTTGGATGAAGTGAAAACACTTAAAAATTAACCACTCTCGGAAACCGAGAAGCATCTCCTCTCTTTGCCCCCCTGCAGTGAGCTTCCTGGGGGGAATACTCAGTGTGTGTGATTCTCTCTTATGACTGGGGACTGGATGTTAACCTAAGGACATAAAATTGCAATATTACAGTTTCTGAAATGATATTTTCAACCAAAGAAAGACTTGTGTGAGAGTTACAGATAAGCCCATGCCCAAGGACATGTTTCCTTACAGTTCTTTAATCTCATTAAATAATTCACATATTTTTTAAAAAGTGTAAGTTAAAGTAGGCTTATGTAACCAATGATATTATTCATAATCCTTCATTTAAAAGCTTCCACCTCCCTTGATCTAGTTAAAATCCTGCCATGCATGAGCGAGAGAGCCTATGTATTCATTTCAGGCAAGGCAGCATTACTAATGAGCCTTCATCTTGAACCTCCTAAATTATTCTCCTGTTCGGACCTGTGTGATAGTCTCTCAGAGAGCTACACAGAAGTCTCTTAAATTATACAAGGCAGGGATGATTTGACAAGTTCACAAAAAGAAAATAGTGGAAGCAAAGGAACATTATTTCATCAAAAGGAGTTAAAGAGATGGGAACATGGGATTCCAGGAAGAAACGTGAGATAGTGCGGCCTGAAGGTAATTTAAAACCACTGAAAAACTTATTCTGTGACTCTCATTTTTTAAAGCACTGCTGTCATCTAGATTTGCTGTCAGTTGACCCGCCCAATAATTTAACTTGTATTGAATATAATAAAATCAACAGAAATTTCTTCCCAATTTATCAACCCCTTTAGATAGGATTAAAAAATGCTTCATGTCATCATTTTGTACCACAGGAAAACCTGACTCCTTAGACAGTTAGCACGTAAAGAAACAGCCATTTTTAGTCCATTGAGTTACTTGAATAATCAGGTTAAAAAATTATTACATTGTGTACAGTAACCAAATATTTAAAATTTGATAAGTTTACTAATAAACAACATCCACAGCATTATTCATTTGACGTATTTATAGAAACATGTTTTGCTACTAGCAAATCTCTTGGAGTATATTTTGGATTAGGCTAGAAGTTCATTGAAAACCTGTTAATACTTATTATGGCTTGGCAATTGAACTATGGTTTTATATGTATGTTACCTCATTTAATCTTCACAGCAATTTTTTTCCATTATTACTTCAATTTTACAGAGGAACCACTCTATAGATAGGTTTGAAAAATTCAAATAATATAAATGTATACAGAGGAAAAAACCTTATCTATCTTTGAAGCCTCTTCAATAGAACATTTTATATTAAAAAATCCAGTGAAGCAAATAAATAACACCCTAACATGCGCCTAAGAGTGAATTCTTTAATATAGAATATAGTTTCAGTCAAAAATAGGCTCATCAAAATATTGCTACTGGCAGCAAACTGTCAACTTATTGTTACTGCTACCCAACTATCATTAAATGGAATTTTATAATATAATAAGAATTTTAACATTTAACTTAAAGGCCTTTCAGCAGAAAATAATAGACTAGTGTAAAAACTCTCTATTAAAAATGCTATTTTCATTTTCCAGCTAATGAATCAATCTCACGTATATTATTTGACCTCCAAAGTAAACTGATGAATAAGAATTAAGTTAAACACAAGTTAATCTGAAACTGCTTATGTTTTAACTTAGACTCTGAGGTAGGCAGAATAATGGCCTTCCAAAGTGGTTCATTTACCCCTTCTTTCGTGGAAGGGGTGAGTATATTACCTTACATGGCAAGAGAGACTTTGTACATGTGATCAAATTAAAGAAATGTAGATGGGGAGATTGTTTTGGATTATCTGGATAGATCCAATGCGATTGCTGGGGTCCTTATACATGAAAGAGACAGACAGGAGGTTCAGAGTCAGACAGATGTGAAGATACTGAGCTTGCTGGTTCTGAAGATGTGAGAAGCAGCCAGGAGCCACAGAGTGCCGTGGTCCCTGGGAACTGGAGAAGGCAAGGAAACAGATTCTGCACTAGAGTCTCAAGAAGGAATCAGCTCTGCCACCTTGATTTTAGCTCAGTGAAACCCATTCTGGGCTTCTGATCTCCAAAACTGCAAATTCATAAATTTGTGTTGTTTTATGCCAGTAAATTTGTAATTAATTACAGCAGCAACAGGAACTGAAAAGAGCTCAAGAGATGTATAATTTTGGCTGTATATAGACTATACAACCGCGATGTTCGTGTGGGCTATTCACGTATTTTCTCCTGTCTTCTTACCCACCCCTTTTCTCTATCCATTCTGCAACCATTTTCATGACATTAACATTATACTCAGGACTCTCTCAAAGATAAAGAATGGTTTCCTTTTGCTCAAACACAAACAACACTGTGGTATTAGAAAACCTTGATTGCATAATCCTTCTTGAAAATGTCTTCTGCTTGGATTTTCTACTGCTGCCTTGACCAGCATGTCTTTCTACACCTCTATGTTCTTTCCTCTCTGTCCTGTCTCATTGTCAAGTTTTGAGTGGGGCTGGTAGTCAAGGTGGCCCTTAGCCCCTGGCTTATCTTCATATCCACTCCTGTGGGGCACGTCCTTTCCCACACCTTCAACTTGAAGGTCAAGTTGTTTCCCATCCGCCCTGCCTTCTCTGCCCTACGATGGTATCCACACTATCCAGGGAATGCTTTGTACACACCCTTCATCTTCTCCTCAAACAGGCCCTATAGCCTCTGTCAGTGTTTCTATCATTTCCGACCTTGTGGATCCTGGCACCATATGGAAATGTTTATTACCAAACCCAGCTGATCGGCAAGTCTTGCCACTGCCCCTCGTTGGGTTTCGTTCTTCCTTTACATCGATTTATAAGGTGTAGGCCTGAGGTTATCCCCCACCTGATACACTTTCCAATTGTCTCCTCTCTCCATTTTAC